AGCAACAATCTTCCTCAAGCAAAAATAGAGGAAGATTGGCAACAGATGTTAGCTCAGGGCCAATCTTCCTCACACACACACACACACACACAAATTAAAAATAGAATTACCATACGATTTAGCACTTCCACTTCTGGGTATTTATCTGAAAAAAACAAAAGCACTAATTTGAAAAGATATATGAATGCTATGTTCATTGCAGTGTTATTTACAGTAGCCAAGATCTGGAAACAACCTAAGTGTCTATCAATGGATAAATGGATAAAAAAGATGTGGTATATATACAATGGAATACTACTCAGCCATAAAAAAGGATGAAGTCTTGCCATTTGCAACAACATGGTTGGAACTTGAGGGAATTATGCTAAGGAAAATAAGTCAGACAGAGAAAGATAAATACCATATGATTTGACTTACATGTGGAATCTATAAAACAAAACAAATGAACAAACAAAACCAAAATCATAGATACAGAGAACAGAACAGTGGTTGCCAGAGGGGAAGGAGCTTGGGGACTGGGTAAAATGGGTAAAGTGGGTCAAGAGACACAAACTTTCACTTATAAAATAAACAAGTCATGGGACTATAATGTACAGCTTGGTGACTGTAGTCAATAACATCGTAGAGCATCCTTGAAGCTTGCCAATAGAGTAAATCCTGAAAGCTAACTTTGTATGATGATGGACGGTAACTAGACTATTTGAGGGATTGTTTCTCAATGTATACAGATATCAAGTCATTATGTCATACACCTGAAGCCAATATAATGTTCCATGTCAATTATTCCTCAATAAAAAATTTTTTTAAAAAAATGAGAGATAATAGAAATAAGCCTATTGGAGCCATAGATATGTAGGAGTTGCCACACACATTTTTAAATAACTGCACCTATAATGTTCAAGAACATACAAGACAAAATTGAGAATTTTGGCCAAGAACTGGAACCTTTAAAAAAGAACAAAATGAAAAACCTAGAACCGAAAAGTATGATTGGAATTAAGAAACTAATGGAGGAGCTAAATCACATATTAGACACAGCTGGAGAGAATTAGTGACCTAGAAGAGAGGTCAGAAGAAAATATCCAAAATGAATCAGAAAGAGACCAAAAAAAATGGAAGATACAGAAGGGATGGTATGAAACCAAAGGATATAGTGAGAAGGCTTAACACACATATAATTAGAATCACAGAAGAAAAGGAAAGAATGTGTCAGAAGCAATATTAGACAAGACAATGGCTGAGAATTTTTCAATACTCCTGAAGACTTTAAACCACAAATTCATGAAATTCTATGAACCATAAACACAGTAAGAAAAAAGAAAAGCACTCCTACGCACAACACAGCAAAACTGTTGAAACCCAAAGATAATGAGGAAAGTTTAGAAGCAACCAAGGAAAAAGATACACGACCTTCAAAGGCACTGATTGACCACTGATTTCTTTGCTAAAAAAAATCTCGATGACACTGAATTGAAATACATTTAAAGTGCTAAAAGAAAATAACTGCCAATCTAGGATTCCATACTGAGCAGAAAGGCAGAGACAATCTTTAAGAACAAAGGTAATAGGGGCCGGCCCCGTGGCTGAGTGGTTAAGTTTGCGCACTCTGCTGCAGGCAGCCCAGGGTTTCGTCGGTTGGAATCCTGGGTGCGGACATGGCACTGCTCATCGAGCCATGCTAGGGCGGCATCCCACATGCCACAACTCGGAGGACCCACAACTGAGAATATGCAACTATGTACCGGGGGGCTTTGGGGAGAAAAAGGAAAAAAATAAAATCTTTAAAAAAAAAAAAAAAGAGCAAAGGTAATAAAGATATTTTCAAACAAAAGTTCAAATGACTTGTTACTAGAAGATTGGCCCTAAAGTAAAGGGAAATACGGAAGGAAAATTCTTCTAGATAGAAGATGATAGATGCAGAGGAAAGTACAAATGGACCAAACACGACAAACATTGTCAACCTGGTTAAAAAACAATATTCCATTACATACCGTCTTCCAGAGACATTTTTAAAACAAAAGTAATATAAAAAGTTTAAAAATAAAAGATTGAAGAAACATATAACACGCATATATTAGCCATAATATCTGAGAGTAAAATGTTGACATCTTTCTCTTTGAGACTGGGAACAAGATAAGGATGCCTCCTATCACATTTCTGTTCAAGAATACGATAAGGAAAGAATGGGGTGGAAGGTGTAAAAGGTATAAAGATTGCAAAATAAAACTAGTCTGTTTTACAGATGATGTGTTTGCATATGGAGCAAATCCAACAGAATCTACAGATAAACTATTAGATTTCATACGTTTAACAAGAATGCTATATATGTTACAAGGTCAATATACATTTATCAATTGTATTTCTATATATCAGTAACAAAAAGTTAAAAATAAAATTACACTAAATTAGTACCTAAAATAACACAAAGCAATACCAAATATCCAGGAACAAATCAAGCAAAAGATGTATATAAGTCTTCTTTACAGAAACTATGAAATATTATTGAGTAAAAGGACTTAAGATCTAAAGAAATGGAAGAATGTACCACATGCATAGATGAAAAGACTCAATATTGTTAGGATGTCAATTTTCCACTGTAGGTCTATAAATTCACTGCAACCCCAATCAAAACACAAAGGAGTTAACATGGAAGTTGACATGCTGATTCTATTGGGTTAAACCATATGAAATTGTGAAATTTGACTATCTTGATCTATAAAGAAGTCAATTTTCATATATTTCAACCCAAACCAATATATTTGGAAATGGAAAAAGTCGAGGAAATCTCTGACAATTTTCAAAGATCAAAAGAATTGTTCTACTGGACTTCAAGACGTATTATGAAACTATAGTATTTAAGACAATATAGTACTGATGCAAGGATAGACAAAAAGGCAAAAAAGTGGAAAAAGGGACTCAGAAACAGATGCGTCCATATGTGGATCCTCATTTCTTACAAAGTTAATGCTGCAAAGTAATGAGGAAGGGATAGCCTTTCTATTAAATGTTTCTGGGAAAATCAGATATGCAAATGGAAAAAGTGAAATCTGGTCCCTGCTTCACAGTATATACAAAAATTGACTCCAGGTATATTGTAAATCTAATTTTAAAAACAAACAATAAACCTTCTGGAAGATCATATAGAATATCTACATGACATAGGAGTAGGAAAAACTTTCTTATAGAATACAAAGAGCACTAACCTTAAAGAAAACATTGATAAATCAGACTATATTACATTTAAGAACTCTGTTGACCAAAGACAATATTTAAGGAGTGTAATAACAATCCAGAATGGGGGGGGAAATTGCCGCAAATATAACCAACAAAGGGCCCATATCAAGAATATATAAGAATTCATGTAAATTAATAAGAAAAAAAAGAAACCCAAGAGACCTGAATGACAAAAAAGGAAATCCAAATGGTTAATAAATATATGAAGAAGGCACAATCATGTTAGTAACTAGGAAAATGAAAATTCAAACAATGAGATAATACTACACTCCCACTAGCATGCTAAAATTTGAGTCATAATAATACCTAGTGCTGCGTGGAACCCACACACACTGCTGTTAGTACAATCACTTTGGAAAATTAGTTTGGCCCTACTGCTGAACACTCGCATCCCCTATGAACCAGACGTTCCACTCCTAGTTGTACATCCAACAGAAACACATATGTGTGTTTACCAAGAGATAGGTACAAGAATGTTGAAGGAAACAGTATTCATAATCACCAAAAACTAGAAACACTCAAATGTCCATCAACAGTAGGCTGGATAAGCAAATTGTAACATGTTCATGTAACTGATTATACAAAATATAAAATGAGCAAACTAGAGCCAAATGTAATAGGATGTAATATTCAGGGAAAGAAGCTAGAAGTGAAAGAATACTGCCTTATGATTCTATTTACAGAAAGTTCAAAAAAACAGGCAAAACTAAACTATTAAGGTTTAGGGACACATACTTATGTGAAGAAAAAACAGAGAACTACAGGGAAGCAGTTAAAATAAAAGTCAGGGGGCCGGCCCGGTGGCGCAGCGGTTAAGTGCATACGTTCCGCTTCTCGGCGGCCCGGGGTTCACTGGTTCGGATCCCGGGTGTGGACATGGCACTGCTTGGCACGCCATGCTGTGGTAGGCGTCCCACATATAAAGTGGAGGAAGATGGGCACGGATGTTAGCTCAGGGCCAGGCTTCCTCAGCAAAAACAAGAGGAGGACTGGCAGTAGTTAACTCAGGGCTAATCTTCCTCAAAAAAAAAAAAAGAGAGAGAGAGAAAAAAAATAAATAAAATAAAATAAAAGTCAGCACAGTGGCTACCTTCGGGGAGGAGGCAAAGGCACAAGGGGCTCTCCAGGGGGCTGGAAACGTTTCCTGACCTGGTGATGGTTACACGGGTATTTGCATTGTCCTAAGTCATTAATCTGTACATTTGTATTTTGTACACTTTTCTTGATGCATGCTTTATTTTACTATAAAAAATTTTAACACTGAAAAAAACTTGTGAGTGAAAAGAAGAGCAAGAATGAATACACATCCATTTTTAAACTTCTTCGAAACAAAACTTAGATTAAAAGAAAAGCAACAAAATAAGAGTTTTAGTATGCACAATAAGGGTGGAAGAATAAAGTTTAACATCCAAGTTACAACAAGATGTCACAGAACCCTATGTGAACAGCTCTCGGTACTCAATGAATACAAAGAATATGAAAAAGAAATTCAAGAAAAACATACAGGCCAATAGTTTAAAAATTGATAATGTAACTAATATTCAGGAAATGCAAATGAAACAACTCTAAATTGTCATTTTATGCCTATTAAATTAAATTACCCACTCCTGTTAGGGTGTAGGTAAAGGTTTTCACTCACAGGTTGCACTAAAATTGATTCACTATTTTTCAAGGGCTGTCTGATGTATTTCAGGCAATATTCTTTCCTGAGAATGTATTTCAAAAATAATAATAATTTCAAAAACTACATCTAACATAATTCTCACCTTGCTTGAGAATTTTGGGGATCTATATCTAACAAGGCTGTGAAATCCTGTGTGGCTGCAATCCAGTTTTCATTTTCGTAGTAAAACATCCCACGTTTCATTAAGGCATCTGTTCTTTTGGGATCATAAAAAATACACTACATGGGGTGTGAGGGTAGAGGGGAGACACAAAAACATATCACACAATGAAAAAAAAACCATGAAGTATATAATCCCATAGCAAATTAAGTGTACTACAACCACATTTTTAACTTCAGATTACAAAAGAGCAAACTACTTTAGGATACCAAAACTTTCAGATTTGTATTTAAAGACCATGTCTTTAGAAAGTCTATTTATCATCAAATTCTAGAAAGGGGAGGTTTTCTGAAAGAAAAAAAACCTAACAGCATATACAAGAAGCCAAGGCTTTGTCCACTAAAATTTTTACTGATAAAACTTCATAAGTGAATTGTTCAACTAGAGTAGGGTTACGTTGGATCTATCACAGCATTTTATCCCAATTAAAGATGATACATATTAGACCACATCACAGCTGAGTCAATCAAATCAAATATGGATTAACCTAGTCCCTAAAACGTGGAAAGAAAGAATTGGTGTTGGCATGGCTCATTCATTGCACGTTGACGTACAAAGCAACAGAGTGAACACGTTAAATCCCTGTTTATGCAGTTGTAAAGCTCCGTGCCTTTTGATAGCGGGGGAAAAAATTGAAGCACAAAGATTACCAAATATTTTAAAACAGGAAAAAAAAAAAGCTTGTTTGACCTCAAGTTGCTGCATTAATTTTAAACCATTAGTGCCAGATGGAGGAAATGAACAGAATAGATAATCTAAAATTTCAATATCTTCAAAAGAGATTTTTGGCCACTTTTAGACCAGAAGTTACCAAAACTTAAAATATTCTCTGGAACCAAAAGAATGTCAAGTATGGGCTATCACAGATTAAGAAACAGGGTGGCTAGTAACATGGAAAGCTAAATTATTTAAATAACTTCTAAATTCTCAATTGTACTAAGAATTTAGAGATAAAAGGCAAGAGATCAAGGTTACTATTCTGCTGCAACGAGGGGAATATTTTGCCTGACTCTAGCTTCCAAGTACAATTTAGCTATAAATTCACCTCCCCAAGGGAATTCCCTGATATCGCCCAACCAAATATAAATTACCTCCCCCATCATCTTTATCTCCTTCATAGCACTCATCATAATTTGTAATTATATATTTATGTATGTATTTCTTTCTTAAATATCAGTCCTTTAAACTATAGCCTCCACGTAAGCAGGAAACATGTCTGTTTTATTCACCAAGATTTATCCACTACAGTATACAGTGTCTTAGTCAAGAAATATTTGTGAATTAATGAATGAATGAACGAGCAAGTGAGCACAGCTCTTTGAGAGCAGACAGTTCGCTGCAGAAGAGAATCAGCTATATCTCAAGAGTCAAGAAGTGGAAGATCATTTTCTCTATTGTTTGAAGGGAAGAAACAATTTTCAAAGGTTTCTTTAACCACTGTTTCACTGTTCAAGAGGAGACAGCTGGAAAAGTCAAGTCCCGCTCCGAGTTGTCTCGATGCTCCCACACCCAACCCTTTGACATAAATCCATTCATCCACTAATAATAAAAAACATCATTGACATGGTGTTAATATCAATTCCAATAAGGAATGCTGTAGGTCGTAATCTATAGTAAATAAACTTTGATTATATAACCTATATGAAAGAATCAACAATTTCTGTATTAAGATGAGAAGCTTATGATTTAAAATACATCGATGGTAGCTTTATGTGATACAGCTTACTTTAGAAAAGTCATCAATGGCCAACACCTTGTTTGCTATTTCATGCATCTCACCCCTCCTGAAATACATATCAGCATCCATGGGCTTACACTTAATTGCCTGGGTATAGTTTAGAATTGCCAAAGTAATGTCTTCTTTTCTCCTGAAAATTTCTGCCTTTGACAAATATGCCCCTAATAAAAATTAAAAAGGTAAAATTTAGTGTCACAGTCCTTCCATTAACTACAATAATTTTAAAAGATTAATCCCTGTCTATCCAAAAGTATAGTCTTAGGATAATCTTTATCTATTATACCTTCTTAACCATTTAAGTTTTTTTTTTTAATTTCAATGATGCAAAATTTATTCTCAAGGGCAAGATAAATACTCATTTATTGTTAGAAGCACTTTCAATTTCAATTTGAAGTGACAAAAATTACCTGTTACCTTTTCGTATGTCTGAAACATTTCATAATCTTTTAATGTTCACAATAAAAAGTAAGATTTTGATACCACAAAATTTTATGGACTTTTACAGAGATCGGCATAGATCAAAACACATTTATTAAGCTCATGTTATATTCTAGGGGTATGTTTGGGGTGCTGGGGACAAAAAGATGACTATGACCTTTTCTCATTCCCCAAAAGTTCCATGTTCAGTCATTGAAGTCGGTGAGAGGACGGTACATCAGGGTAAATGTATAGATTTCAACCAACCGAGAAGTCTTAGGAACACTACAACTCTAATTCAGAGATTCATGGTCAGGAAAAGCTTTGTGAATCACTTCTATAACTAAAATTTTTAAGTTCGTATTCTTCTTGTGGGATGAGCAGTAAGGAACCAATTTACTGTAATGTATACCAAGTACATTAGCATTTCAAATCATGATGAATATTTTGAAAACGATATAGGATCATAGAAGTCCTAAGTTTACAATATCAAGAATACAGTTAACTTAGGAAACTCACAACCATTTTTGGAGACTTATATCTATTGATTTATGTATCTTTATAATATCACTAAATGGTCAAAGCTTAAGTAAAGATGTAAGTAATAAAACCATCTGCAAAGATAACCCACCTGCATTATTTTTATTATGTTTGTTTATATAATTCAAGTCATCCAAAGCATCGTTAATTTTGTCTTGGAAAAGATAAATGAAATGTCGGTGCCAATAGGCATTGAGAAACAATGGCTCCAAGAGTATAGCCTAGAAAATATATGTATAAATTCAACTAAAGTTGATTTATTAAAGGAAGATATTCTATCAAATAAATTTTTCAAACACTATTGATCCCAAAGTCTTTGTGTGTGTATAGCATAAAATAGTAACTCCCAATCTGACAAACAAAATCCAGGGTTTCTAACATAAATTATTTGAAAATGCCAATAATTATAATTTCACAATCCCCACATGTATACTACAAATATTTATTGTTCAAAATTCTAGTAAAAATTATCTATATAACTATAAGGAAGCATAAATTGTTAATATTGTTATTTTGATTAAATAAAACTTACTGCCTGTAGATCATTCATGGCACTCTGTAACTTTCCCAGTTTCCTGTAAATAGCTCCACGCCTACAATATGAAAATGCAGGATATTTTGTCTTATCATTTATTTCTTTAGTCAAGATCTCCACTTCGGATTCGTAATGTTTAATGACCTCTAGAGGAAGATCAGACTTCAAAGAATCGCTCAATTCTAGTTTCAGTGGTCCTTTCACTCCTTCAGCTAGCTCCTTATGAGCAGATATTTTAACAGCTTTCTCTGCGGTAGCTGTCTTCTGACGTTTATGCTGAGAGAACATCCCAAGAGCCCATGTTCGAGGGTTGCTATTTTCTGGAATTCCTCCCTTACTTTGGGCAAATTTGTCAAAATTTAAACACATAGGTAGGCTGGGACACTGATACAGACGTTCATGTACTGGGACTTTGAGCGAATGTTTCTTCTGTCCAGGAAGGACTCCATGAGACGTTGATCTAGGTTTTAAGAGAGTGATTTTTAAATTACAGAAATATAATTATTTTTATAATCAATAAATCAACTCACCCACAAACAAAAGCACTATATTCCTGTTATTGAAATAAAATTACATGCTACTTTTATGCAACCCAAGTACTCCTGTTCATTTATTAAAATTGTAACACCATATGAAGAATCTCCGTAGAGTCTACGGAAGCAAAGACTGTTACTAAGGATGAATTCTCCCTAGAGTACCGAAACAAGGGATCAGAACTCCTTTCGAGGTTAATTTACACCCGCACCCCCAACCAGAGGAATTACAATGGAGAATGCAGGTGATAAAACTCAATATGAGAAAGGAAACACCATCCAAGAGGTTGGATAGGACATGAAGTTGAGGAAGCAAGAAGGAAAGATTGAACTCCACAGCAGCCAACCAAGAGAACATCCCAGTCTTCACCCTTCTTTAGCAGGCTATCAAATTAGACTACACGTAATATGCTTTCAAATGCTACATTTCTAGAATTATCCTCCTCAAATTCTCCATTTCCCACACAGATTTCATTCAGTAACATTTACCATATGACCGGTACTGTACTAGACACAGGAGATAGAATAAACACATTCTTTTGGAAGAAAACAAATCTAAACCCCATCGTTTCAATAATATTTACTGGGTGTGTATTATAAGAAAGACCTAGTGCTAAACAGTCAGAGAATAAAAGTGAGAAAAGTCAGCATCCTTCTCTTCCCTAACTTTATGACACTCTCCACTCCTCCCCACATTCTAGTGCAAGCTGCCATCTCTCTTCTGCCTAGAGTACAATAACTTCTTAATTCCCCGCTTCTGCTCCTGTTCGTCGTCTCATCCATCCTCTACACGGCAGCTGGCATGTTTTTGTTTTTAGCAACTGTAAATCAGATCATGTCACTCCCTCTAAAAATGCAAATTAAGCTTTTCTCCATGGTCTAAAAGACTCTACATGATGTGGCCACAGCATATATCTCTGGTAACACTACTCTCCTCTCCTAGTTTCCCAGCCATATCATCCAAGAGTAAGCCTCAAGGCTATTGCACTTTCCAGCTCTTGTGACTGGCTGGCTCCTTCTCATGGCTCCTTCTCAATACATATTTCTGATTAAACATCACTTTAGAAAAGGTTTTTATGCCAGATACATTTTGTTTCCACTTCCACATTCATCTCTACCCTTCTCTGCCTCGCTCTCTGCCCTGGGGCACTAATATGTCCACAGGATTGCTCGCTCTCTGTCTTCCAAGTATGTCCAATCAGGAACCCTGAAGAGGGAAGGAGGAGAGTGATGTCAAGGTATTTATTCCTCTGGCTCCTTGCTGAAGGGTTGCTTCAAACTGGCTATGATCTTTGACCAAAGACCAAGTGACCAAAGATCACTGCTTCTTGCAAGGAAACCCTTTCTATACAACTCTTTTCTTGCGGAGTCGAGTAATCACTCCCTCTTTTTGTCCTCTCAGACTTAGGGGTAGAAAATGGCTCTATTGTTTCTAGCCCCAGGATACTACATTATCATTTGTGGTTTCCCTGTGCCCTGCCATCTTCATAAATTGCCCCTTTATTATGCTTTCTTAGAATTATCCTAAATTGAGAGTACTATCTGCTTACTAACCAGACCCTGACTGATCAAGTAGTTGGTACCAGAGGTGGACCCAAGAAATACACACACAAAACGAGCCTGGGATAAACTTCTTGCTGGGATGAAACAGGACACAAGTAATCCATGGTATGTTGTGGTATCAAAACTTCTCAAATTATCACCAGTGTTAGCAGGTGATGTTCAGGTGGAGGGCAAGGCAGCGGGAGATCAAGCAGCTACCACTTAGTCACTAGGACAACATTAATGATTATAAAAATTGTAGACTCATTTGACTTCTTTCAGACCAAAAGAGAAGGTCCAGTACCTACTAAATTCCCAAATCTCCCAACTTTTGAGCACCCAGGTAATGAAGCTACTAGGAAAGGAAGAGGAAACTGAAATAGGGGAAGCCAACATTTGAGCAGGGACGAATGAGGCTGAGAATTTTGAATCTCCAAATTCCACTCATCTCCCCTTGACAGAGGAGACTGGCTGAGAGACTGTGAGATTCCCGAGTCTGAGAAACTCAACTCTCTCCTGCATAAATATCCTTCAATGACGACACTGTGACATTGCCGCATACGCTGTATCAGATCTGACTGAAGCACTTCCCCAAATCACTCAGCTGTGACTTCCTGAACCCTCTCGTGGAGCTACATCCACTAGAGTCCCTCACTCTCCCACATACCTCCTCCGTGAAGCTGGCCTTGGATCGGTGGCTGCCAGCCCTTGCCAGTGCAGCCTTGGCTAGAACTTCCCTGGCATACTCTGAGTGATTCTCAAACTTTAGAAAGCATCAGAGTCACCTGGAAGACTTGTTAAACACAGATTTCTGGTGTATCAGCTGGATATGGTAGACACAATTACCACACTAAACCACAGGGACAGAATGCTAATCAGAGAATTTTAACCCACAGGGATCTGTGGCAATAACTAAATGACTACAGGTCCTTAGACATGAGCTAGATGGGCAGCCTGCTAAGGTGTTCTTTGACTTACATAGGTGAAAAACTTCTAGGTCTGGGCGTAAGCCTAACCAGCTATAGTGGGGGTTCACAACCTCCTACTCAGCTCTCAGACCTAAGCCAGTTCACAGCCCCAAATCTCTCACTTGACAGGAAGGCCAGGCCTGGTCCCACTGAGAAAAGATCCTGCAACATGGCGTGGCGTATTCAGTGAATTTTTCCCAAAACCTTCCAAAGGTCTGGGAAGGAGGAAATGCCCAAATCTTCTGGGGGGTACTAGATACTGACTCTAAACTTATGCTGATCCACAGATACCCACTGTGGATGCCACTGAAGTCCATCAATCAAATCAGGGAATTATGAAGGTCAAGTGAAATAAATAATTCTGACCTGAAACCATCTAAGAGTGGATCTAGTGAGACATGGACTTATCCCACAATAATTTCCCTAGTCCAAGACTGTGTGATGGGAATGAATCCACTTAACAACATAAATTATATGGTGAAGGAGAGAATGGCAGTAAGGGTCAAGTGGAAATCTCTGGCACTGCCTCCATTCCATTCGATACCACCACCCATCAAGACAGTACACCAGAAAGACCATCAGGGAAATTACAGATGAGTGGCACTAAAGAAAGGATGTAACCTCCTGCTTGGGAGAAAATAAATTCTGCCTCTCTTGGAAATGTAGTGGCAGAAAAACGGGCCAAGAAAACCAGGACTGAGACGATAGATTTGTTTTCAGGAGTTGGTTGAATTTGGAAGTTTTGATAGTGGAAGTTAGGACTAAGGTCAGTTATTCTAGAAAAGGGCCCAAGGAGACGCATTCACAGGGATGGACAGCCATTTGCAAAAGGGCTAGCCTGGATCTCAGAGCAGGCATGCTACTCAGTCCTGGAAGGCAGGATGCTTGCGGAGATCCAAGAGTCCAGCAATTCACAGAAGTCCAGGTAAGAGAGAAGGCAGTGGGTATAAGGGAGCCAAGGCGGGCCAGGAGCCACCAATAAGCACGGCTTCCTGCTGCGTCACTGAGCTGCTGAGGAAGGTCTCCAATAGTCCCTCACTGGCTGGTCCATCAGTATTGGGCTCAGAGACCAAAGCCAAGGGAAACTTCCAGAGAAACGGTGAAGCTGCAAAGTTGTTGCAGACACATGGCATCCTGCTATGACCTAGCTGAGGGGGGAGGCAGGAGGGGTAACCTATTGTAAAGGGACTGAAGGGAAGTGTATGGGTCTGGGTCTTGAACCAGCCCAAAGGGCCTGCACCGGGAGTTACTTTCCACAGTCAAGATTTGACTTGATATATGAGTATGTACACCGTCTGCTCCTAACCAGGAAAGGGAGCCAGCCAGAATGAGTGTGATTAAACAAGCTTAAAGGTGGGGTAGAAAATGGTAAAAAGGATATTTCTGTGTGAACCAAGTTAAGATTAGTGAAAAAAGATCTCAAACTGTAGGAATAAAACCATTTTTAAAGTTGCTCCATAAACTTGTTTTAAAATAGCAATTATTTCATAGCTACACTTTTGTGGTAAATTAATTTAAGTTCAGATTTTTGAAAAAAAGGAGTTAGGAATGCCGTACTAACGTGTTATCTTAGATAAATACTCCCACAGTTTGTTTTACTTCCTCCACCAGAAGTCTCATCCTATGGCCCCTGTTCCACCTGTTGGCAGTATATACAAATTTCAAATTCAGTTGTCAAAAGGCAAAAACCTCTTTAAATGGTGAAACTGCATGATCAAAATGATAAAGGGTCAGAAAGCAGTAAAAGACCCCACCAAAGTACTGTTTCATTTGCTTACATCCTTTCTAGAAATAGAAGCCACTTTAGTCATGGCCAAAAATGGTGCTCTGGGATGGTGAAGATGCATAGTACTTTGAAGTCAGAAAATGTATCGAAACTGTATAAGCAACCTTCTAGTTCTGATCTGAAGCATTTGTCAACTTAGGAAAACCTACCCCAAGTCTTCTAAAGACAAGCTAACAAAAAAGGTTTTAGATATTACATTTGTTGCAGGGGAAACAAGCACAAGCAGAGTGCAGAGAATTCAGGACTTGCACGGCATCCCCTCTAGGGCTGGTCTCTGTTCTACTCTGTCACTCACACTTACATAGAGTTATTCCCCCGTCTTTCAAGGGACAGTGTCACCCCACCAAAATACAATTAACCCTTTTTAAGAATCAGTAAATCTTTATAACAATAAAGAGAACAAAACATTTATGATTCTCATCACCAGCAAAGTCTTTACTTTTCAAAAGGGCTTGAGTTTAATAAAATGTTTTGTCATCTGAGGATATCTAAAAAGAAATAAAGCCCAGAGCTTTTTGGAAACTGTTTTGCACCACACTTGGGTTATAAGAAAATTATGTTCTGAACACTTAAATATGAACATTTCTGGAATTTCAGTTATTGTTATTTTAGGTACTCCACATTTTTAAATATGCTAGATACGATTACCTCCAAGTAAGGAGAAAAACTATTTCTGTATGTTGAACCCTCAGTAAGGGCTCATAACATACAAAAAACAGTTTGTCTATCTAGATTTATTACTCAATTCAATAGTTTAAAATATGAAAACAGTTACATTCCAACAATTCATTTCAACTTTTGAATGGGTGGTATTTGTTTGGAGCAGCAGTTTGCTCTTTGGTGCCAAATCCCTTCAGAAAAATAACTTGGTAGTTTTTTTCTTTTTTCTTTTCTTTTCTTTTCTTTTCTATGGTGAGGAAGATTGGCCCTGAGCTAAAAAATCTGTTGCCAATCATCCTCTTTTTGCTTGAGGAAGATTGTCGCTCAGCTGACATCTGTACCAATCTTCCTCTACTTTGTATGTGGGATGCCACCACAGCATGGATTGATGAGTGGTGTGTAGATCCGCACCCCAGATCTGAACCCACAAACTCCAGACTGCCAAAGCATAGCATGTGAACTCAACTGCTGTGCCCCAGGCCAGCTCCAGGTAGATTTTATTTCTTCCCATTGAAAGATTTCATTTAGCCATCAAATTAACTTAGTCTCACTTCATGTCCTTAAATCAGCCCCACTTCTAAATTATAGTTTGAATCATTCACATATTTATATTATTAAATATCTATATATCGAAATATAAGGAGTTGTCCTTTAAGAATTCGGCATATTTTCAGTGCAGAATAAAATAATAACTCAAATGGGTGAAATTATAAAGTTAAGGTGAAAACCATGATGTATTTCTTAAACTAAAACAATTACTGATGAAACGAGACCTTGTAATAGTTTTTGGAGGCTTGGACAACTCATCATACACCATCGTAAGTTTACTGAGTTTCAATCCTTTCTTCTGTTTCAACTTCTTTTTCTTGGGATAAACAATGTAAGTAATGCCAGCTTTCCTAGATGCTTCAATGAGAGAGTGAGAGAGCTCTTTCACACTGCGCTTGGTCTGCAGGTTGTCTAAGATGGTATCTATATTTTCTTTCACAGAGGTGCGTTCTTCAGTCTCGCTGTGTGCAGTCATCTGACGCTCCAGCTCCCTTGCTTTCTGAAACATCACCTGCTTTATATTGCTCTGCATGTCATCCTTAATCTCTAACGGGGCTGTGGTCTCCTCCTTCCTCAGTTCAACTGCTGACTTTACTCTCTTATTAATGAGGATACAAAGAGGCAGAAAAAACACAAAATCAATTCAGTTGCTACATTTAAAATAATCTAGTTTTGATTACTATTAATGTAGTTTAGTCACTATTGAAAAATTTAAAATCACGTATCCCTGAAATTTTTCAAAAGTCAGCTTATAAACAATACTGGGTTAGTTAAAGCAAAGTACAATAATTTGATTGGTCATATGACATTTTGTTAGCTACATAAAAATAATAGTATAAAGTAGACATGCATTAATTGTGATTTTATATATTCTTAATTAAAAGAGAATGCTTTTTACATATCCAAATAAAGTACAGGCTCTGCTTTTACTCTCAATGCAAAAAAAAAAATTGATAGAATGGGCAAAAATTATCAAAATGCCTTATCCTATAAAATCAATTTGTGAGTCTACTTTCAAAAGCTCTTTAACAACATTGAATTTATATATTATAGCATTCAAAGATTCTTTACAATAATTTTCAAATCAATATTTACAAGTTTAAGTAACAGAATTCCAGCCTAATATTTATTTTATCTAGTCATTAGAGAATCAACTTAATTTTAATAATGATATTAATAGAATGATACATTAGTAACTGTTAATAGTTTGCAATAATTATGCATTAGCACTTGAAACTCTAACAACACTCATTACTAATAAAAGAGAGACTAGTTCCAATCTTTTGATACAGCATTTCCTGACTACTGAGCCATTATCAATAAATTAACAGCATTGAATTTTGCTAATAAATAATCTGTTATAGAGATGTTTTTCTTTATAGCGACTTCAGGTCCAAATTCCAAACATAACAACTTCATACAAGCTAGTTATATACTTTAAGATTTACTAAAGTACAATAGACATATTGCCCCTTCGTGACTTACGGTCCTTTCCTCTATCTCAAGAAACTATATGTAACTCAATATGTAATTAGAATAGAGAATAGAGAGATACATAGACTACATACTATATGTATGTGTGTATGTCAAGAAATATAAACACATATTATATGTCAAAAAAACATGTGCCTGAAAGAAAGTAGAACATAAGACACTCATTCCCCACTTGCTGACTAGATATGGATTACGCAGAGAGGCTATATGCAGCTCTGTGGAATACTTGGGAAGGAATCGTTGACAAAATCTACAACTCTAAAGCAGGGCTGCCAGAATGAGTTTGGGTTTTTTCCCAGCTTTATTGAGATATTATTGACACATAACATACGTCAGTTTGAGATGTACAATGTGATGATATGACACACGTATGTATTGTGAAATGACTACCACAGTAAGGTTAGTTAACACCTCCATCCTCTCACATAATTACCATTGTTCCTGTGTGGTGATGACATTTATGATCTACTCTCTTAACAACTTTCAAGTATATTTTACAGTATTGCCAATTATAGTCACCATGCTGTACATTAGATCCCCATAATTTACCTCATAACAGGAAGTTTGTACCCTTTGACTAACATCTCCCCATTCCTCCCCTCCCCCACCAGCCCTAGCAACCACTATTCTATACTCTATGTTTCTATAAGTTCAGCTTTTCTAGATTCCTCATATAAGTGAGAACAGACAGTGTTTATCTTTCTCTGTCACTTAGCATAATGCCGCAAGTTCCATCCATCTTGTCACAAAAGGCAAGACTTCCTTCTTTTTTACAGTTACTAGAAGAAAAGAAAACTACAGGCCAATATCCCTGATGAATATAGATGCAAAAATTCTCAAGACAATACTAGCAAACTGAATTCAACAGCACATTAAAAGGAGCATCCGACATGATCATGGGGGTTTATCCCTTGGATGCATGGATGGTTCAACATACACAAATCAATAAATCTGATATATCACATTAATAGAATGAAAGATAAAGATGATATGATTACCTCAATAGATGCAGAAAAAGCATCTGACAAAATTCAATATCCTTTCATGATAAAAACTCAATAGATTTGGTATAGAAGGAATGTACCTCAACATAATAAAGGTCATGTAACAATTACGTTGAAAGGTTGAAACTATCCTCCTAAGATCAAGAATAAGACAAGAGTGTTTACTCTTCCACTTTTATTCAATATAATGCTGGAAGTCCTAGCCAAAGCAATTAGAAAACAAAAAGGAAGAACAGCATTCAAATCAGAAAGGAAGAAGTAAAACTGTCTCTGTTTACAGAAGATACGATCTTATAAAGAGAAAACTCTAAAGATTATACCAAAAAACTATTAGAGCTAATCAATGAATTCAGTAAAATTTTATGGTACATAAATCAACATACAAAAATCACTTGTTTCTTTACGCTAACAATGAAGTATCTGAAAAAGAAATAAAAAGTAATCCCATTTACAATAGCATCAAAAAAAGTAAAATACTTAGGAATAAATTTAATCAAGAAGGTGAAGTATTTGTACACTGAAAATTACATTGATGAAAGAAATTGAAGACACAAATAAATAGAAAGATATCTCATATTCATGAGTCAGAAGAATTAATATTTTAAAATGTGCATTCTACCCAAAGACATCTATAGATTCGATACAATCCCTATCAAAATTCCAATGGTATTTTTCACAGAAACAGAAAAAACAATCCTAAAATTTGTATGGAACCATGAAAGACCCCAAATAGTCAAAGCAATCCTGAGAAAGAAAAACAAAGGTGGAGGCATCACGATTCCTGATTTCAAGCTTTATTTTGAAGCTATAATAATCAAAACAGCATGGTACTGGCATAAAAACAGACACATAGACCAACAAAACTGAATCAAGAGCACAGAAATTATCCCATGCATACATGGTCAACTAATATTCCACAAGGGACCCAAGAATACTCAATGCAGAAAGGATAGTTTCTTCAATAAATTGTGCTGGGAAAAACTGAATATTCACATGCAAAAGAAGGAAATTGAGCCCCTATCTTACACTACTCACAAAACTAACTTGAAATGGATTAAATGAAAGGCCTGAAACTGTAAAACTACTAGAAGAAAACATAGAGAAAACCTCCTTGATATTTGTTTTGGTGATGAACTTCTGGCTATGACACAAACAGTGCAAGCAACAAAAGCAAAAACAGACAAGTGGGACTACATCAAACTAAAAAGCTCTGCACAGCAAAATAAACAGTCAGTGAAACGAAAAGGCAACCTATGGAATGGCAGAAAACATTTGCAAACCATCTATTTGATAAAGGGTTAGTATTCAAAATATATAAGGAACTCTTACAACTCAATAGCAAAAAAAAAAAACAAACAAACAATATGATTTAAAAATGGGCAGAGGACCTGAATAGAGATTTTTCCAAAGAAGAAATACAAATGGCCAACAGATTCATGAAAAATATTCAACATCACTAATCATCAGGAAAATGCAAATCAAAACCACAATGAGGTATCACCTCACATCTGTTAGAATGGCTATCACCAAAAAGACAAGAGACATCACATGTTGGCAACACTGTGGAGAAAAGGGAACCCTTGTGCATTGTTGATGGGTATGTAAATTGGTGCAGCCATTATGGAAAACAGTATGGAGGATCCTCAAAAAAGTAAAAAATGAAAAATAGAACTACTATATGATCAATCAATCTTACATCTGAGTATATATACAGAGGAAATGAAATAAGGATCTCAAAGAGATATCTGCACCCCTATGTTCATTGCAGCATTATTCACAATAGCCAAGATATGGAAACCACTTAAGTGCCCATCAATGGATGAATGGATAAAGAAAATGTGATATATATTATATATAGATGCAAAAATTCTCAAGACAATACTAGCAAACTGAATTCAACAGCACATTAAAAGGAGCATCCGACATGATCATGGGGGTTTATCCCTTGGATGCAAGGATGGTTCAACATACACAAATCAATAAATCACACAATGTTACATACACACACACAATGTTACATATATAAGTTATATATATGCACAATGTTATATATGTTATGTGTACACAATGTTATATATATGTTATATATGTATGTTATATATATACATACATACACAATGTTATACACACACACACACATATAACAATGGAATATTATTCAGCCACAAAAAAGAAGGAAATCCTGCCATTTGTGACAACATGGATGGGCTTTGAGAACATTATTCTAAGTGAAATAAATAATTCAGACAGAGAAAGACAGATTGGTGGTTGCTAGAGGTGGGGGGTGGGGGATGGGTGAAATTGGTGATGGTGGTCAAAAGACACAAGCTTCCAGTTATAAAATAAATAAGTCCTGGGGATGTAATGTGCAGCATGATGACTATAACTAAAATAGTTTATTGTATATTTGAAAGTTGCTAAAAGAATAGATCTTAGAAGTTCTCATCACAAGACACAAAATGTGTAACTATTTGTGGTGATGGATGTTAACTAGACTTATTGTGGTGATCATTTCACAATCTATACAAATATCGAATTATTATGTTGTACACCTGAAGCTAATATAATGTTATATGTCGATTATATGTCAATAAAAAAGATCTTAAGGATAGTGTCAATGTACAGGGATACAAAACAGAGGAATCAAAAAGTCGATAAGAAAGGAGAATGTCAGAAATGAAATAGGAAGTAGGCTAAAGTTAAGCTGGTTAAAAGCAAGTTAGAAGCAAGTAATATGGAGAATCAAGGAAGTTGTAATATTTCAGAGGGAAAAATAAAAGCTGGGAGCTAGAAGATAAGAACCAGCCCTTCAAGAAGGCCTATGGATTCTTGGTGCAGAGGAAAGTCCTTGCATTTGCTAGGAGGAGGTGCGGGTTTAGGTTCCAGCTCTGCCATTTATCACTTTCTGACCTTTGCTTTTTCATGTATAAAACAAGGATAATAAGATTGTGAAGCTCAAGACCAAACTGGAATAGTGTCCATGAAAATGCTTTAGAACTGCTAGCCCGATGCAAATGCAGGTCAATATCATAAGCGACTTCCTTTAAAACATACCAGGTAAAGTCAAATGATGAATAGGAGACACCTTCAAGAGCAACTGGAAATCTTAAATTGGCACCACAACCACAACTTTACAGGGTCTACCAAATACCCACTCCAACCCAAACTTTCAATCAACTCTGGATGAATCAACTGACTGCGTGATTTCAGGAAAGCCAACAAAAAAACACAGGTGGTGCTTGTTACCAGAAATATGAACATTTCTTTTGAATAACAAAAACTGAAAATTTATCCTACCTTTAATTGTGGAGATCGTGTGTCGAAACACTTTTGGATATTTTCAAATGATGCAGATTTTGTTAGGGAAAAAAACTGAAATAATCAAATGATAAGTATACATTGACTATAGATACTATTTGATAAACTAAAATATCACATGACAGTTGGCTAATGATAACCGTTTAGGTAAATTACTGAAATGCAGAAATACTAATTAAAGTACAGGTTCTTACTCATTTCACTGACTTGACAGAGAGGAACAGAACTTAAAATCCATCAATTAATTTAGAAAAGTGTATAATAATCGAAACGTTTTTTTCAAAATTTGGAAACTTATAGCTTCTAAAGCTTAAATTTTTAACTTGTTTTTTTGGAAGATTTGCCCTGAGCTAACATCTGTTGCCAATATTCCTCTCTTTTTCTTTTTTTCTCCCCAAAGCCTCCCAGTACATAGTTGCATATCTTAGTTGTGGGTCCTTCTGGTTGTGCTATGTGGGACGCTGCCTCAGCACAGCCTGATGAGCAGTGACATATCCACATCCAGGATCCGAACCAGTGAAACCCTGGGCCGCAGAAGCGGGATGCATGAACTTAACCACTCAGCCACGGGGCCGGCCCTGAAACTCTTATTTTTAAAAATGCAGCTTGATATAACAAACACTTACCAAAGCTTTCCGGTTGGTGCAAGTGGCACAGGTGTGTGTGAACGTGCCATAGATATGCTGAGCCATTACTCTCCTAGCCCTGGGGCTGCACCAGTGGGAGCAGCTCCTCTCCCCTGAATAGTCACCTCTAATCATGAGCCACCTCAACTTTTTCAATGGGACCACACCAATATTATCATATCACTTATTATGAGAGCTATTAAATTAAAAGAGTTGGGAGGTACTACTATCTACTAGATAGAGTAGAAAGTACAAAAAAAAAATGACATGTTCTATGTCCTCCACCAGTATAATGGTGGAAACAGACATAAAGAAATAACTGTAATCCAAAGCAGCTGTGATGACGACTAAAGGCGACGTGAATCAGGCATAAAGGGAGCACGGAGAGGGAGAGGGCAGCTCTGAATGGGAAGGAAGCTGGACAGACAGGCTTGACAAGGCAGCATCAGGACTGGCTGAGAAGGGGTTGAGAACACCCCAGGCCGACGGAAGAGCCTAAGCAAGACCAGGGAAGTGTCCAAGTGCAGGGGATTTTAGCCCCCAGGACTCTGGTGCAGGCAAAGAACAGGGTATGTGGAGGTTGCATGGAAGCAGAGGTATAATGGGAGGTAAGATAGAAAATACAGTTGAGGCCAGGTTATGAGGCTTAGTTAAGCTCTCTGACTTTATTTGGTAGGTGGAGTTCATTTTGTTGAGCCATGAGTGCCATCATTCTCATGTTTTAAGAATACAGCAGGAGGTGGTAAGGAGGATGGATTGGAAGAAGCAGGTACTAAAAATGGGACTATCTGGGGCCGGCCCTGTGGCTGAGTGGTTAAGTTCGTGCGCTCGGCTTCAGTGGCCCAGGGTTTCCCCTGCTCAGATCCTAGATGTGGACATGGCACTGCTCGTCAGGCCATGCTGAGGTGGCGTCCCACATAGCACAACCAGAGGCACTCACAACTAGAATATACAACTAGGTACTGAGGGGCTTTGGGGAGAAGGAAAAAAAGAAGAAGAAGATTGACAACTGTTGTTAGCTCAGGTGTCAATCTTTAAAAAAAAAAAAAAGGGACTATCTGACAGGTAGGTGTAAATAGTGCTAATACAATAGTCTGGAAAGTGCGAATGGCATTCCAAAGTAGAAAGTGCCACTCGTTGGTTCAGTTATTTTTACAGGATGCTCACTGCTCTAGCTGCTATGGATAAAACGGTTGAACCAGAAGGACATGACCCCAGGCTGGTAAGGAATAAAAAGATGAAACTTACATAAGGACAAACATTTAGTACGTGCTACAAGAAAAATAGAAAAGAGTGATCTAGATGAAATAGAAACATTATCCTCTCCAAAAAAGAAAAAGGTTTCACCTCACTGTATGGGGTACAAAAGAGGGGGCATGGACACATATTTAATCTAATTAACTGACTAGAACAGGGATTCAATTGTCCCAAAGCACTGAGACTCTACTGTCTGGCACTCAGCATCCCAAGACATCAAGGGAAGTAGAGGGCTGAAGGCACTAAGGGGAGAAAAATAAACTGTTGCTTGTTTGTCTCCCATAAAGTTCAGGGCCTTTAGTAAAGCACTTATATGAATTTCATACCTTTCTTCTTGTCTCAATCACTATCTCTTTTCTCTCTGATTGTGTTTATTGTTTAAGCAGCTTATTTGGATACACTGCAGTGATAATAAAGTCATGAGCATGAGATAATCACCATTTAGAGAATTCTGTTTTACGCTGCTTCATGGCCATAAACAATTTCCCTATTTGGTCAAAAGATTCATTAGCATGTTCCTTTGATCATTTAAGACCTAAGCAAGAAGTGATAAATGAGTGCAAAACCAGAAATTTTAGAAATTTCAGGAAAACTCACAGTAGATATCCTGCTATTGATTAGTAAATAACATCTTCTGAACGTCATAAAGACAAAATATTTGAAAAAAAGGATGTGTCCTCAGCAAAGACACCAGGGAGCATCTTGAGGTACTTCCCGGAATGAGGAAGCACCAAGAAATTATTTCCAGAATTACTAGAAACAGTATTTGAGCTGTAGGCAGATAAAGCAACCAACCCATAATTCAGAATAAAAATTATACATACCCTGGAACTTTTGCTATACTGATCTAAAATAATCACATTTTCCTTGTTTTCAGATGAAAATTTCTCAGTTAAAATTCTGCTTGCTTGAACACTCTGCGATAAAAAGATAACAGTTTTAAATTGTATAGTGGAATACTTTAAAAATTCTATTATCACTGTGGCTTCATAGTACAATATTATTACCAAAAGAGAAATGTATGGAAAGGTAGAACTGCAGAAAACCAGAGATGCATCAAAGTCCAGCTACAACCTTAGTATTTGGCTAACACCCACAATTTGCCTTCAGAGTTGGCCTTTAGCCAAATGGATGCTTCCACATTATTTCTGGCATCCCGAATCTTAGGAGCAGTCAACGATCTGTGATCTCATAGGTTAGCATTGAATCTATTTAGCATATAAACATCAGGATTACAAATAAGGCATATCGTTTGGATTTATTATCAATACATGACTATTCACTACCAATTATAGGTAAGCATTCTAAATGTTAATTGGAATGTAAATCTCCTTAAGTGATTTATAATTCAAACTGTATCAGTCAATTAAGTTATATGTGTATATTTATTGTTGTAAGGGTAAACTGCTGCAATGATTAGGATTATTATTAAATGTGCTACTTCTCTATCTTGTAATCAGTGATTTGGGTATGTGGAAACAACTAGAAGATCTAAGTTTGACAGCCTGGTGGATTCATGATGTATTCAGTCATACCACTGCTTCGTTTGCTGAAATTTTCAGTTCTCAAGCAACTAATAGTTCAAATTCAAAAAATATTTATTCAATAGGAAATCAGATTCTAAAAGTATCATGTAATTATCACTGAGAATGGAACAGATACAGAGAAGCCTATGGGTAATTTAGGAATCACCAACACTGAATTTTTGTTCTTCCTCTTCTGTTGTAGTTTTATAAAGTAGCTACAGCACAATGTAAGGTAAGAGATTTACTGCTCATAGCAGAAAGACACTTGGTCACTTTCACCATTATTCTTCAGACAAACTATGTGATACACAAGAGATTTTGGAACTATTTTTTCATATGCCTACACAAAACATTCAAATATGATGGAATAGCAGCTGTTAAAAATTTAAAAGAAAGCTTTTAACAACAACAAGGATAAAAACCTTAATACTGTATTTTACAGATATCAAAACAGGAGAACTTACTAACAATCAATGGTTGTTTTTTAAAAAAAGAACATGATTCATATGTTGGAACCTGCCAAGATCTTGCCCAAACTAATGTGCCTTGAAAGGGCAAGTATCGCTTACACGATATCTAAAGTAAAAATCCTCCTTCTCTTCTCCAGGGATTTTGCTGAAACTGGTATGCGTGCAATAAAAGCTGCAATGCAGATGGAACTGGAAACAGTTTTGCTACTTTAAAAGTCAATTAAATTAAAACTTCTGCTTCTAATTATGGCAGGCTAAGTAATTCTGCTGAGGACAACTAAGAAAACCACATGTGATATGAAAAACATAATCTTCAAAGCATCAAAGAGCTAACAAGACGATGAAGAGATATTGGGCCAAAATCTAAGAAAAGGCAAGAACCTGGAAAGGTAAGCCCAGTATTCAAAGATGCTTTTGTTCTCAAGATGTTTGCCAAAGCAGCTGCAAAACTGAGCTGCAGATTGGCAACTTCTTGGAGCAAGGGTGATAGAATTTGAAGCCCAGAATCTACCTGAGTTGTGTACCCTGATTTATTTATTTACATACATAATATTGTATATGTACAAAATACAAGTATCCAAGTCTACAGGATGCTACACACTCAGGGCTGCAGCCTCAGATTAAGAGTGAACAGAAGTAAATCAACCTTTGGGTAAACTTTCAGCCTTAGATTAAGGCTGCCTCTGAGTGGTAAAGAAACCAGGTTCAGACAAAAAAATTTCTCTGGAGAAAGGAACTGTCATTCTAGGTCTCAAATGTTTGATAATAATAATGTTTTCCTAATAATGTTTTAAATATAATGATAAACATTTAAAGACAGACAGGTACGCAAAGAAATAAAACACCAGAATGTAATAGATTAGGGAGAAAAAAATAGAAATTCTAAAAAGAAAAATACAAAAGCAAATTTAAAAATACAGTGAGCAAGTTTAACAGTGTATTAGACACAACTGAAGAAAGAATTTCTGAACCTGAACTACAAGAAGAATCGAAAGAAATTGTCCTGAATCCAGTTTCAAGAGAAAAAAGAAACACATGTGATTAAAGTCCCAGAAAACAAAAGAGAGAATGGACAGAGGTAAAATTTGAAGAGATAATGACTAAAAATTTTCTATAGCTGATGAAAGACATTATACCACAGATGCAAAATTCCCAGTGATTCCAAAGCATGATCAATTAAAAGCAACCTGCAAAGAGACACACAGTGAAACTGTAGCAAAGAAAGAGAAAAATTTCAAAGTAGCCAGCTTGAAGGGAAGCAGAGAATTAACTAACTTCAAAGGATTCACACTTAAGACACACTTCTCAGCAGCAATAGCGGACACCAGAAAATAGTGGAACATCATTAGTATGCTAAAAGAAAATATTTACAATATATATTACACCCAGGTAAAATATTCCTCAAGAATGAGGTAACATAAAGATATTTGTAACAAAGAAAACCCAGGGTTTTCACAAATTACAGACCTCCTGCTTCCCTTAAAGAAAATTCTAAAGGATATACTTTAGGCAAAGGGTAAAACGATTTCAGACAAAAAGGTCTGAAATGCTAAAATAAAAAAGGAGAGGGAGAGATAAATACATGGGTACAATATAAGGAATATTTCATAAAATGGTAATAATGTTCTGGGGTTTTAAAATATAAGAATCCAAAAATATATCTAAGTAAGAACACATTAAATCAAGAAGGGGAAAATGGAATTAAAAGATTTTAAAGTCATTGCATTTTCCTAGAAGAGTATAAAAGTATTGATTATCATTAGATATTGATTAAAGATATTGATTGAAGTTAAAGGTGAATATTCTAGGGAAACCAACATAGGAATAAGAAACAACATACATAACTTCCAAAATAGAGATAATAAAACACAATTTATCCAGATAGTTGAAAAAATAAAAATAAAATCATAATATTTTCTATCCAGCCCACTGAATATTTTTAAAAAGGAACAACAAAAAATATATATTTAAGAAAAGGAATAAAAAGAGAATATAAAACAAACAAAAGGCAGAGTCTATAAAAACATAAATTAAATGGCAAGATAAAACAAAAAATATCAACAATCATATATAAATAGGTTAAAATTGCTTTTAAAAAATGGGATACACAGATCTTTGTATCTAAATACCAATTCCCATTCAAAGGAACCAGGAGTCTTTGAACAAAGGTCTGATTCCAGTTCTGGTGCACGGGAAGTGTCCTGAGCCCTCTTTTTGTGCCAGAAAATCCTGTTGGATCCTTTTTCGTCTGTTCATTGGGTACTGATTTAATTTGGAACACCTTTCTAATGGGTTACTCCATCATCGCCAGTTCTAACCAATCCTTCTTATTCTTGCATTCAGACTTTTGTTCAGACAGCTCTGCCCACTCTCAATTCCCCATATTCACACTTTCCTATATACAAAGATAGAAAAATACATACCCATACTTTATAAACATATACAGTAGTTTGGAAAACATTGCACTCATACTATGGACTCCCCTACTGTGTCAGTTCAGTTAGAAGCAGATGCATAAAAAAGAGGCAGCAGTAGGCAGAGGGAGCCTTCAGACCACGATCCAGGTCTGACACCTGTGAAAGGGGAAGAGAAAGGAAGGAGTGGGTAGGAAGAGCTTCAGACAACAGAGCAGTTCTGAGAAAGAGTCAGTGAGGCAGATGGAAAGTCTCTAACCAAAGCTGCCTGTTAAAACAAAGCCACATCAAGCAGGAATGGGTCACGTCTAGCAAGCCCCCTGTGCTCAGGCACTGGCTGGGAGCAGCCCAGAGGAAGAATGGCCTTGGAGTGAATGCCATGGTGGAGCTACAGGACAGCGGTTGGAGGCTAGCAGTCAAGTATGCTCCTCTCAACATATTCTCTTGAAGGAGATGTGAGCATCACAATTTCATGGGTGCTATACTTACACAAATTAATAGTCACCAATCTTTTACATTAGGGCAATCTTTTTATATACCTTATGTTATCAACCTTCTCATTTTAGCTCATGGTATCTTTTTCTAAAAGGATAATTATTATTTTCTCAAGTAAATGAAAACTCTAGACTACACTAAAAAAAAAAACAAATATACGCAATAACCTGCCAAGATTTAAATTACACATGTACTTTGGCCAGGAATTCCAAATAGAAAAATACACATATGTATGCAAAGATATATGTTCAAGTACATTTTAAGGGGAAAAAATCAAGATGCAGAACAACGTAGATTACATGATTCCACGTACGTAAAAACATTAATTTGCGTACACCTATATTACATAAATGAAAATGAAAATGTCTGAAAGGTTACACACAACGCATTTAACAATGGTCAACTTCAGGGAGAAGAGAACAGGGGAGGGGCAGCATCCAGGGTGGGGCGCACTCTTTATACTATACACGTCTTTATTGTTTGAATTTTTTCCACAAGAAAGCATTCATACACTATTTGTGCAAGTTCTTAAGTAATTTTAACAGGCCTTGCCACTCTGAAAACAGCACAGACAATAATATTGCTAAAGAAAATAATGGTGGTTTAACAAAAGACAGAATAGAAAGAAAATTTTTAAAAGATAGAAACCACAAAATAAAATAATATGAGTAAGACCAAATTAACCATATGCTACTCATACGGCTTTTCTAAAACAAACAAACAAAAAACACAATGGAGAAAGGGCTAAAATGAAAATATTCCTGAACACAAACAGAAAAGCACACAGGGTTGGCCATATTAGAGCAGAATTCTAGCATTAAATAGGCCAAAGTAGGTCATCTAAAATTGATAGAGACAGAATTCATAACAAAGATGAAAGAGTACTGAATTCATAATAAGATGAAACAGCTCCTGCTCACATAAAGAAAGAACTATCAGTAACACCAAGAAAAATGGACAAAACGTAACTGCACCGAAAAATCCCAAACAATGTTTTTTAGATCATAGGAAAGAAATATGCCACAGAAAAATGGAATATAACTATACAACAGCTATATCTATTGTTAATTGAGCACCTACCATTCATCTGGCAAAACATATCGTCTCTCATTAAATCCTCAGAACACCCACTCTACACACAAAAAAACTGAGACTGTCAGTGGCTAAGATCCTAGTACAAGGTTATCAGCGAAGTAAGTGAGATTCAAATCCAAGAGTGTATAATGCAAAGCCTGTGCTCTCCTTGGTGCTGCCACAATGTAAAAATGGTCACTACACATAATACCACTGAATTAATAAAGATTGATGGGACATCCAGGACACCACAAAACAAATATCAATAAATTCCAAGAAACTGGTATTCTAAAGGAAGTATTTCCTTATGTTAATAAAGGTTAAGAATAAAATTTAAACAAAATAATTCCAACAAGTCAAAAAAGTTTTAAAAAACTTTCCCATATAAGGCGTATGTGAAAAAGATAACGAAAACTACAATAGAAATTATTTAGAAATAAATGAACACACTATAAAAATGTATGAAATAAGATTAAAGGCTTACACAGAAGAAAATTCATGAAGTACTTATATTACTTAAAAAGAACAAAGATAAAGAAATTAATTAAATTTTCAACACAAGAAATTAGAAAAATACCAAATATAAATGTCAACCTTTTATGGAATGCAGGAAGCCAGTAACCAAAAATTTTCAAAGACAGAAGTAACTAAAACTCAGAGGGGCAAAAACTGAGTTAATAACTAATCTGAAAGTTTGTTGGTCAAAGATATTTTTCCGTTTTTCTGGCTGACTGGCCATAATCTCAAAAACTAGGGATCTTAACTTTGCTAAAAGTAATTAAAGGGATGGTTTTATAGCGGTGTGAAAATAGTAGTTTGACAAGCAGAGACTAAAGCATTGTAATTAAAAACAAAAGAGAAAAGGCAAAAAAATTAAACCAATTTCTAAAAAATGTATTCTAGGGAAGGAAAACAAATTTCAAAAATATCATTAGAAATGGGAAAGAAAATGACGTAATATTAGAAATGGAGATTAAAACTGAAGAGTAGATATATACGAACTCTGCGTGTAACAGACATTTCAATTGAATAGATGGCTTTCCATAAGAATACATGTTACCAATTAACTCAAGAAAAAATACTAAATACGAATAACCCAAGAATTAGATAGGAAAAATTTTTAATAGTCAAACAATTACCTTCCCAAATGGCTCAGATGTTTCCAGTGATTTCTTCCAAATTTTCAAGATTATTCCTACGCTATATCAATTCCAGAATATTCAAAAAGATGACATGCTACTCAGTTAATGTTATGAAGCAAGAATACCCCTGAGAGTGGAGTCCACCAGAGGGATAAAAAATCCTACATGCGTAGTTCACCACGAGTATATATTAAAAATAAAAATAAAATATTGCCTATCAGAATTCAACATGCTATTGAAGAACAATACATCATGATCAAGCAATCCAAGAAATATAAAGATTTTTCAATATTCACATTCTAAACATATAGTATCAGTAGGTCAAATATGAATGTGATGCCATCCCTATCTTGGTTGCAGGGAAGCTAAAAGGTAAATTAATGACCCCGTTTCAAGCAATAGCATATATATGGACAGAATTTCTTTGATTTAATCTTATCTCTGAGCTTATTAGGTTATTTTCCTTGTTATGTTTTTCCCATGATTTCTTTAACTTTTTTGTTTTATCCTTTTCTGATATATGTGTTTTAGTAAGCTGCCTAAAATCCTGTGCAAATAAAATAATCCTAAATATCATTAAAAATGTATGCACAATGATGTTCAGCACAGAATTATTTCAAGAAGAAAAAAATGACAAGGAAGAAGAAAAGGGGGGGGAAGAGAGAAAATAAGAGAAGGAGGAGGAAGAAGAATTTTAAGAATGAAAGAAAATGGACAAAAAAGTGGACCATAGTTGTCTTGAAAGAGAAGAAGCATAGAGGATTTGGGTTTTCTTCTCTTGATCTTTCTCATTTTTAAAATAATCAGTATAACATAAAATGAGAGCAAGTAAACCTTTTTAAGGGAAAAAGATTAATAATTGTATTGGGTAGTGTTAAACTTTGTTAAACATTAAATTAACTAAAAATACACTATTAAAAGCAAATGAAAATACCATGAAGATCTTCTAAGCAACCTAAGTAGCTTCATATCTTGGAAGCTCAGTCAAATAAAATATCCTTTCAAAAATAAAACAGAATATTCTTCTTGACTGGCTAAAGTAACATGGATAAGTACAACATTTTTTAGAAATATATACAATATATAAGTACATGTACATAAGATTGGGCTTATAAGTATATGTGTATATATGTACATACATATAATACACACATATAGTAATTACTTATTATATATAATTTCTATAGTGCCATCCACTCATTCTTAATGATGGCAATAGTTGTCTGACAATTTACATAACTGTCCAGTAAAATTTAAAGTCATAATCAAATATAATCAAATATTTAGTTATTAGCAACAACAACAGAGAAAAGTCACTCAGTATGTTACCTCATATTTTGGATATAGGGTTTCCCTCATGACAGATACCGGAACAGAGAACTTGGGTGAAGCGAGATTCCAAAACAACTTCGTAAATCCTGGGTAAGCAGACACCTTTGAAAACAACATAAAACGCTATTAGAAACTAACAAGTGGTCCCTAGGGTAAAAACCCAAGCTCCTGTCAAAATTGTTTCTAGCTGCCCAGAAAGTGAGATGATTGGTTCCAAAGCCTCTGAAAGTCTTGGAAAGACAAATTTCATACCCATCAGATTAGCAAAAATGTAAAGTTGGCAATTCCAAGTGATGCCAAGGATGTGGGGAAATTAGTTGAACCACACTGGAGGCAACTTGGCCATTTTTAGTAAAATAGAAAATGTGCCTGCCACATGATCCAGAAATTTCACTTCCAGCTGTATGGTCTAAGGAAATTCTTACACACATGCATGAAGAGATATGTACAAGCATATTCATACAGCACATGAAATAGCAAAAAACAAAGCCCAATCTAAATGTCCATTGATAGAGAAACAGATGAAGAAAATGTAGTATATTCACATAACTAAACACTGTAAAGCCATTCACGCACGAAAGCTACATACCATAGACGGATCTTAGAAGCACAGCACTGACAGCAAAATGAGCAAGTTTTAGAAAGGTACATACAAAATAGTGTCATTTACATAAATGTGTCTATAGTATTTATCGTTTAAGGTGACAGATAGATCTAGTAAACCATAAAATCATGGACTAGAAAGACCACAGTTTTAACAGCAACTGGCCTTGGGTAAGGAGGAAGAGAAATGGAATTAGGAAGAAGTACAAGAAGACTTAGTTAAATTACTTTTAAATTTTCTTTTACTTTAAAAAATCTGAAACAAGTATGACAAAACCTTAACACATAAATTCTTGACATTTCCTCAAGTGTTTGTTAGTTTCTATATTTATTTGTTTCTTTAAACTTTTTCCAAATGAAAATTAATCAGGTACAAGGGAATTTTTAGGGAGATGAAACTATTCTCCCTAAATTGTGGAATTGTGGCTATATGACATTAAGCATTTGTCAAAACCTATCGAAATTTACAGCACAAAGAGTGAACCTTAATGCATGCAAATTTTTAAAAATCACTTAGGAGATCAAGAGGATGGAATGCAGAATGTAACAAAGCAATCTAACTGTATTATAATTGTATGAAACAACCTCACTGAAGGGAGCGGGGGAAAAGTTGTTGACCTTAGGAACTTTGGAAATGAATGGAGTATACAAAAAGAAACTGTACACAGCACTGAACTTTAGTTACGAAAGTTGTATCCCACTGGAATATAGGCTAATAATTCCGATACTTCTATGCATGTATACCTCTATACTGGAATTGAACAATTCAGTAAATGAATGGAGGACGGTAGGAGCCAGGTTTGTCACTGGTAGAGCGGGAGTTTAAAAATAAGCAAAGGAGGAGGCTAGAATGATGCACGTGGTAATGGATTAGAGTTGAAGACATCAAAGGGAAGTCATGCTTAGATTAATTTAGACCCAGATGGTTACATATAGAAATATTTTTAAATATGTGTAAATGCAGGAGTTAATATACACACGTAAATTTCCTTGCTGTGTCAGCTGAGAAGACCCCAGTAGCAACTAGCACACCTAAATGCCCAGATCTTGGTTTCTAGTTACATTTTCTAGTAAAGGGAACCAGGGCTTCTTGTAGAAATGGCTGATTCTATGGACTGGGGCAGGAAATACACAAGATGAGTCTGGAACATCTTGTAGTGCCAGAAATTAAGAAAGTCTTTGGAAAACTCCCACAATGATGGGGTATGTCAAAGGGACATAAGAGCCAACTGAAGGAGCTCTCAATGACCAAAGGTCAAACAGTTTTAGAAAAATAATAATAATAATAAAATACTATTGGATTACAACTCAAAGTATAACATAAATATCCATGAGTCACATTGATACAAATAAGTAATAAATAAATGGGAAGAATAGACAAATCTCCTGCACAGACGAATTCAAATTAATTTTTGTATATACTCTAGCCTCAAGGAGGTGGAGCATAACTCCACATTCCTTAAGTGTAAGCTTCACACTTAGTGACTTCCTTCCAAAGAGAGGAGTACGGAAAGGGAGGAAAAAAGAGAAACTTTGCAAAGAAGAAAGCTGGCAAACACTGCCTTAGCCAGGTGATCAAGATTAACATCAACAGTGATAAGTCATGTTGAGAAGATGTACCCTTGATACATGTGATGAAAACTGTAGTCTTCCTCCCGAAACCACATCAGGTAAATCCCAATTGGGGGATATTCTACAAAATAGCTGACCAGTATTCCCCCAAAACTGTCCAGGCCATCTAAAGCAAGGAAAGTCTCAGAGACTGTCACAGCCAAGAGAAGCCTAAGGAGACAACAAAATGCCATGTGATATCTAGGATGGGATCCTGGAACAGAAAATGGACGTTACACAAAAACTAAGGAAATCTGAATAAAGTACGGACCTTCGTTAATAATGATGTATAAATATGGGTTCATTGCTTTTTACAAACGTACCATACAACTGTAAGATGTATTCACTTCCTAGGGCTGCCATAACAAATTACCACTGTGTGGCCTGGAACAACAGAAATGTGTCCTTTCACAGTCCTGAAGACTAGAAGTCCAAAATCAAGCTGGAGGGGGGTCCATTCTCCCTCTGAAGGCACTAGCTAAGAATCCTTCCTTGCCTTTGCCTAGCTTCTAGTGATTGCCAGCTATCCTTCGCCTTCCTTGGCTTGCAGCTGCATCATTCCCATCTCTGTCTCCATTGTCACATGGCCTTCTTCCTTGTGAGTCTGTGTGCTCACGTGGCATTCTCCTCTTAAAAGGACACCAGTCCTATTGGATTTAGGGCCCACCCCAAGATTCTTAATTACATCTGCAGAATGTCTGCTTCCAAATAAGGTCACATCCTCAGGTACTGTGGACTAGGATTTGAACACATCTTTTTGGGGCTACTATTCAACCTACTATTACATTAGTAACAGGGGAAACAGAGTGTGTGATATATGGGAAACCTCCACACTGTCTTTGCAATTTTTCTGTAAGTTTAAAACTATTCTAAAAAATGAACTTTATTTCAATAAAATAGTAGTAACTATAAAAAAGCAAACAATAAAAGAAAAATAATTTTTAAAAATAGTTGGAGGCAAAAGATTAATCAGGCACTCATGACAAGATCTTGAAGAAAATGTAGCAAGATTTTTAAAATAATAACTGTTTGAATCCATGGTATTATTAGCAATTATATTTTCTTTAAAATTTTCATTGACTTTTAATAATATTTAATTGGACTACGCATTTTCCCCAAAAAAGATTTCTTTCACCAGAAAAATGAGCTCAAATGATTTTAGAGCATTAGCTTGCAAGTATTATTCTAGCATTAACTATGAAACCTTAACAGTGACACCTCCTGGAGTGTGGGTGTTACACAGACTTTTGAGAGTAAAATACAAAGACCCAAACCAATAAATAAAGGTTCACTATTATAAGGTGACACTGAGTCTTGACCACTTTTATTTCTAGTCCAATATACTTCGACTATTCCATACACTTGATCATGTTTTTCCCATCTACCAGCAGGGTATTTAGAGAAAGGCAGATTTTGCAGTTGCCAGGTTAATTTGTCCAACACAGGAATTCAAAATTACGTTTCCTTCTCACTCGTCCTCTGTTTTGCTGGGCACACTGCATCCCTTTGTGCTGTAAGGACCTAGAGCCAAGAAGTCCTTGCTAAAAGATGAATAAACTCTTCCAAAATCAGCTGACAACTCTTCTTCCAAAGATCACCTGGAAATTAAGAAGATTTCAGGTATTCAAATGATATGTCACACACAACACAATAATTCCTTCCGTGTAGTAGCTAGACTTCCAGCAGCTTAAGCATCTGGAATAAAATCATTCCCCTGGAAGCAAGCAGGATACAAGCCTCCACGTGGGAAGAGAGGAAAGTCTATCACTAAACAACAGCGCTCTTCTCTCAAGGAGAAACATAGATGCACCTTTAGGAGAGAATTTATCAAATTAAACTAGTGAATAAACACTCCTCATGGTAAATTGCTTCCCCAGCAATGCTCAGAAGTTTCGAAGAGGAGACCGAGGAAAATGGTTAGAAACAGCAGGGTTGGCGCCTGCTAGAACCTGACAGGAGGGTAGAGACTCCACAGCAAAATGAATTGTTCACTATAAAGCAAACTTGGTTAATTTAGTATAATGGCACCTCACAGTCCCTACAGATACTATGTGTATTCCAACCCAATATAATAACTCAAGTTCAGACTGAAGACCAAGGTCAGAATATTCTGTTCACTAAAGGAGAGAGACACACAAATTAGTTTCAGGGGTAAGTTAAGCTTCATAGAAATGAAACATAAGGATGAACAATAGTTTTTAACATGTGGTCTGAGACTCTGGAGAGCCTCAAGACTTTTCAAGGGTCTTTCTGAGACCTTTCTACCCTTGAAAACTATTTCTTTAATAATGCTAAGAGGTTATTTACCTTTCTCATTGTGTTCAAATTTGCATTGATAGTGTAAAAACAAAAATATGAGGTAAAACTGATTTTGCCTCAGCATGAATCAAGGCAACGGCATTTTAAAACTGGCCACCAGGAAGCAATAAAAATTGTTAATTTTATTAAATCCCAACTTTTAAGTACACATCTTGTTAATATTCAATGTGACTAAGTGAGGAGTACACATAAAGTACTGTGGCGACAGTGAGGTAGGCTGGTGGTTCTGAGGGAAAACATGGTGCTATCGTTTGAGTTGTGAACTGAATTAGCCACCATTTTCATGTGAAAGGACAAACATCAAACTGTGGTTATTCAGACTTGGGTACATGGCAAGCATTTTCTTGAAAAATGAATGAAGCAAACTTGTCATTTCAAATAAAACACTCAAGAGCATTTGTGGCAATGAAAAGACTTAAGCTTTTAGCAAAAATTAGAATTTGGGAAATTTTGTGGCCCTCATCATCTCCTAGTCAGGTTCCCAATGCTAAAACATTATTCTAATAATATTAAAAATAAGATATTTTGATATTATATATATACTGAAATGTGTCAACATTTGAAGATCT